GTTCTCACGTTCCATGTACCTAATAGGGATGTTGCCTTTGGAGAGAGAAGAGTTGTCGGCTGTATAGGAGGATCCTGACGGCTTGCCCTACGCTGCGTCATATGCTGTCTGTGTGACAAGCCCCTCCTCCCCAAGTCGATGGTGTGTGTGAAATTGATTAATGTTTCCGTAATCCGTTGAATCCACTGCACGGGAGAGTAGCCTATGCAGCTTCACCAGAGCCCTGTTAGCCAGCATTACCTGTTTCCACCTCTCACGACGAGGACGTAGGGTTGGACTTTGAGAGGCAAAATATTCTTAGATGGATGGGATACCTAAATTGTAATTCGAAAATGTCCAGCTAAACGGAAGACAAATTTTATGCTTGATGACTTTGATGCTAAACTTCCCGAATGTTACAGAAACGAAATAAAGTTGACCCATTCGCGCCGTTTTTATTTTTTGTTTTTCACTTGAACGAGGTGTAATTTTTTGAGTTTGACGCAATTGGGCCGAGTAATTATCAGAAAAAATCAAAGAAGTCGTGGCCACGATAAAAAATATCAATTTTTCTTAAATTTGGTCAGTTTGTAGACCTAGGTGACTATCCTATGAAGGTTAGTTTTTGGAAATCTTCAATATAAGGCAGAAATCCGTGAAAAACGGTCATTGTACCGAAAACTTAGATTTCGTCTCGCGAGAATACGGAATCAGTTTACAGACTTTTTGGCTTCTCGCTACACACACGTTGGAATCGCTGTGAATCGTTCTCAACTTTAGTTACATGAACTGGTTTTTCATCAGTCAAGATGTGTTATTATATTTTAATCTCCAGTTCATCATGAACAAATTGAGGCTATTGGATACACATTCTCCATTGCAGTAAAACGTTTTATTGATGATCCCAATCTAGCAAGTTAAAAAGCGAACCGGTCGTGCATCAAATCTTTTGAAGGTCCCATCAACGCCGGAGAAATCTGAAAACGCAGCTTTTTTTCTACGGTTAAACTTACCGTCCACACTTATCCGTCACGAAAACGGAGCTTTTCGAAAGCGCTTTTCAAACCGGAGTAATTTAAAAAAATGGAGCTTTTCGAAAATGACGTTACGATAATCATGTGATTTCCCTACCCCAAATCAGTTTTGATTTAACAAATCAGTTTTAATCTTTAGTGCTTGCACTTTCATATTTACAGGCTAATTTTGCTGCTTTTGTTTTCAGACAATTCAGTTGTGGTGACGAGAAAAGTTTCTTTGGATCCCAAGATGAAGGTTGTAACATGAATTTGATCCGTGCAAGCCAAGCAATTTTTGTCAACTTTAAGGAAGTGAGATATGGAACAAGGTAGATATCAGGAAAATTTGCTCCCTAATGGTCAAGAGCCTAGGACACTTCTGCAGACAACCATTGCCCGGTGTCACAGTGATTTGGGTATCCCCGTGTTTTGTGTACCCCCGTGCCCAAATCCCTAGTGTTTTGGGTATCCCCACTTAGGATAACCAAAACACTGAAAGCGTTAAATACCACAGACTGAGGCTAGTGAAATCATCCATAATTCTGCTCAAAAACCATCTATCTTCTTACGAAGCTTTGCCTCAATAAATGAAAGCTT